TTAGCATCAACAGACTCGACATCACTGGGGCTGACGACTGGTGGTAGCTTATCATACAACCCACACAATCTATCTATTAATACATCACAGAAGGAGGTCTGACGGACGATACAGTCAGCGGAGGACTGTTCAGATAAACTGGCACATAACATTATACCTTCACACGCCTTAACACAGACTCTAGCATCCTGGAAATAGTCAGAAACTCTCTGTAGTCATATTATAATTGACAGGTTAGTGATAATCTTTGAAATTATTAGGGGTATAAAAATGGCTCTGGTAGATCTTGCATATCTCAAGTTGCGGGCACACAAAAGGTCTTGGTGGGAGAATCTTGTAATGAGTTTCGTTGATGATCATTGGCACAAAAGGAGACAAACATCTCCAGTCGGCCCTTGTCCATCATGTCACTAATCATGTGCAGAGCATGTAATTGAAAAGGAAATGAATCTGATTGGATGATGACGATCTGCCATGCAGACAATAAAACAGTCTGACACAATTATCAAAAATCACAGTTGTTTCGATATAAAAAGATGTAAATATTTTGAAGCAGACTTACATTACTGGAAGACAGAATTAACAAGGCTTTTATTAAACTAAAATCTAATGTTTTCTGACCCGTATTGGATTGTTTAGACTGACTGGATTTCTTGGAAGACTTGGTTGGCTGAAATAAAACAATCAAATAAATTAAATATTCCAGCAAATAAGAAATATGAAAAGAAGTTTTACATCCTACATTCTGCTCAAGATTTTGCCAGATGTTATACTGAATTGTATGAAATTTTATCAGGTCAGCAGGGGGAGCTAATGATTAGCAAACTCTTATGTCGAGGGATCTTTGACGTGAGCAGTCTGTAGTACACAGGGCCGTGGTTTATTATCTTATTAAAAAAAATTCACTCTTATTCCATGTAAGTCTGCAGTGAGACATATAAATAATAGAAAAAAAAACTAAAATATAAAATGTTCCTACCTCAATAAAGAAATTTACAAGATGAGGATCAGCTTTAATTTTAGAGCAAACTGTACATAAATATTCTATTTCTTCTTTTTCTGTTGGGCCAGCTCTTACCTCACCACAAGTCTTTACTAATCTCTAAAAATAAAACAATTAACTTAAGGCAAATCATCAGACAAGATGTGACTCATTAGAGTCCTGAACCAGAAACCAGCAGGGAGTAACATTCAAAAACCAGAAAAACCAACGTTAAACAAGAATAAGTATTAAGAGAAAAATTTACCT